ATATTATGTTTTCTCTTGGTTATAAATCTTTTACTAAACAGGTTGATGAACTTTGAGATCTATCTTTTATTTTCACATGCATTAATGCGGAACAGTCAAATGAGGTAATTGACAAACGTTTCAATCCATTAATGAAATCGATAATCATTTTCTCAGATTGTATAGTGGCATGTAAACGTTCAACGGTTGAAAATAGGTAACAAACTTGTTCAACTGAATAGCTAAACTTAGTATCACTATAGTCAGTATGTATTTCAAGTGTTCTTATATGTTCAAAACGAAAGCCTTGAGCATACTGACAAAACATGCCACGCTGTTCTTAAATGTGAGGTGATGGATATTCGACATCGCTCCCAATATAAGCATATTGGTAGTTTGTGATCCAATGTCTCAACGTGAGAAAATCGATGAGAATAAATAAAAGATGATTCTGACACTATTAAACGAGTTCAGAAAGGTTTCAGTCAATTCGACTCCTATTACAGAGAAAAAGTTGAACGTGATCAAATTGCTCATCAATTTCTGCCAATGATATCCATTGATCAAATCAGTTTGACCTTGAGCACGTAACTCCAAATGTCTAAAACGAGGCAAATTTATAATCAGATGTTCAAAACTGTTCATTGTTGTTTGAAAATCTGCAATAAAACTCAAAATTTATTTCGAAAACTCCTTTTGATGTTAAGAACAGAAAAATAGTAAAAAGGTGATATAAAGGTAGACTTCATAAATGTAACTTATTCTTTTTGATGGGGTGTGGATTTGAGTGAAGAGAATATTAACACTGACAACCACACCGTGCAACCCAAGTGTAGTACCTTGTCGAGCTACTCACTTCCGTCATGGATATAGAACTCAAATAGTTGGTTGATTTGAAAATCAACTTGTTGAAATATACAATTTTCAAATGTTCCAGTATCAACTTTCAAATTGACTGTTGATATATGTTATTTTGTGCTTATGACAGGCTTTCTATTTTAGAGTTTCGTGTTGTTAATATCAACGCATAGTTAGGAAAAATTTTAACTTGAATCTTTATTCGAACAGTTGTTATTCAAGTAGAATCACTTTATTCGGGTTTTAAAGATATCACTGGTTATGAATAGATCCTGACTCTATAGGAAGCATAGTTTTTTAGACTATAATCCAATATCTTTTATGCCTAATTTTGTCACGATTATTTAGCCTTTGAAAAATATGAGCATAACAATTTCGACTTTCGTAAGAGATGAAAGTCAATTTTTTTCTAATACTTACCACTCACATCGAGTACTAGTTGAAAGAAACAGGGCAACATTAATAGAAATGATTGTGGCAATCTGTCTTGTACAATACGAACTTCTAGCGTTCGAAACTGAGCTACACCAAAACACATACTTTGGAGTTTTCTTAATTTATATCGTTTGAGTAACGCATGAGAACGAACGCCGATTCTTAAGCTTAGACAACTGCCCATGGAGTAAAATATTCAAGGAAACGGACTGCGTAACGCGTTTCTGAGATTGCAGCATGCGTTTCGCAGCGTTTTTTCAATATAGAACGCGTTTCACAGCATTCTTACTTCGATAGAATGCGTTTTGCTGCTGTCGTTTTTTGAAACGATCTGAAACGCGTTTTTCCAAGATTGCGTTTCGAAGCGTTTCCGAAGTAAAATAATGTCGAACGCATTTCGGTCGATAGGTAACGCGTTCCAGAGACACAGATTTGGAGAAATGTGAAACGCGTTTCCTTTTCAAACGCATTTTGCATCGTTTTTGTTTGAAATGATGCAAAATATATTCGTTTTGCATACAGAATCTTGCAGGAATTTATCTGTACAAAACGTACGAGTTAAGCAAAGTTAATTCTGGCACTATTTTAGAAATTATACTAAATGGGATTTGAATATTTTGTTCCTTGCACTGTTTCTCAACATGAAAATCATGACCCAAACTTTCCAAACGCAAAATTAAAATCGAATTCATCTAAATGTTTAGGCTGCTAGACTGTTATGTAAGTCTGATTGCTAGTTAGACTAATATTGAACATCAAAGTGTAAGAAAAATATTTTTTTCTTCCTTGAAAACTCATTTCACTAGGTTTTTATTGAAAGAAAACGTGTTTCGTAACGTTCAACCAAGCATTGTTTTAAATATTGAACAATTCGAAAAGGCTTAGTAAAGACTGATGCTAGTATAATGTGTACGACAACTTTGTTTGTTTATTTGTGAAGAAAAGAATCTCGAGTTATTTATAATTTGAATAATTATTGGTATGAATTCATATTTGGACTACTTGATAGTAACTGATGATACTGTGTACAATACTATTAAATATGAATTTAGTTCGTACTTTGTTAATGTAAGCGTGCCTTATTAATAAAAAGAATATTCGATTTACAAAAGAAGATTCTTTGCATTTAGTGATACTTTTGGATAACAGGATGACGAATTCACATATACAAAAATCTATCAAAGAAAGAAAACAATTCAAAAAATTTATTTTAAAATTTCTTAAAATTTATACCTAAGAGGTTCAACTTGTTTAAATATTAAATACAATTTAAATTAATTAAAATCGTTTCAATTGGGTATTTAAATTTAAATTTAAACAAGTTCAAATAAAAAATATACCAAGAGGAGATCAAACTCGTTATTGGGTATAGGCACCAAGGAAATGATAATTTTTAATTTAATGGTTTGGGATACTGAAAATCTAATTTAGTAAGTTTACGAAAGACTCTGAAAGACTATAGAATAAGCACTTATATCATTAGGTTATTTTAGTTGAACGGTTTGTACACGTGTCTTCTACTCTTATGTTCTCGTGTTCGAATCTATGTGTTGGCTTTATCAAAATTGATCTAAGTTATAGCTTCAACGGTGCATGAAAAATGTAAGCGAGTAAATTAATTGTATCTGCAACTCAAAGTGCATGAAGTACTTGACGGTTTTCATTTTTTCCCATCTAGAATATACGACACCACAGTTAGAGAAACGCTACGAAACGTTTTTAGAAAAACGATCGTTTCACAGCGTTCGTATTAGCAGATGTGAAATGCGTTAAACCGGTCAGCATTAACGCGTTTCGCAACTATGGAAAAATGCGTTTTGAGAACGCGTTCTTTTCGCAGAAATTTACACCATGGGTGTGATAAGATGGATTTCCATAAATAAGAATCAGGTTTAATCAATGTTAGTGACCTGATATGTATGAATTCTGATAGTTTGATATTATAAAGATGATATTCACTTTGATACCATGTTTCATAGTTATTGGAGAGCGTACGTAAGATGACTTGACTAGGTGAAATCTAACGATCGACAAAATTAAAATGAGTTCGGAGAATTTTTGTAAAGTCAAGTTGATAGTATGGATATGTATATAGTATACGATCGAAATAAGGATTTATATTGGGAAATGCGAGAACGATTTCGTGACTTTGAAGATAATCGAATATTTTGTACAGCACTTCCAGAGAAAAATGGTTGAAATATGATTTGTACATGATAGTGAGGTATATAATGAATCAAAATCGCTAAATGAAATGACTCTTCAATGGATTGTGACGTCCATATTTTCTTTAGAAATGTCTTTCGGAAGTAACAATGACTCTTTGGAGAATACCAATGCTCTTCAAGAGTAGACTGTCATTCTCTTTCTCTTTTTCTCTTTTGAATTACATAGAAAAGTATGATACAACAAAAATAAACGGCACACAGCGCTGGTGTTTGAGAAAAGATCGAAGATGTTGCTAAATTGGAAAGAATGACAAGGAAACAAGAAGCCGAAACTTTTTTTGTGGATTTTGCTAATTATTGTTACGTTCAGAAGCGCTTACACAGGGTTATGTCAAGATAATGTGGAAACATAACAAGAAGAATTTAAGTGACACGAACACAATTTCATCGATACGACACTAAGCTACAGTGTGTGACAATTTGAAGCACATGGAAAAGAAAAATAACGACAACTGAAAGAAGTGTCTTTCTTTCAAATTTTTCACTCTTCCCATCCGAAAGAAATGACCAAGGTTATCACCTTGTTTTTTGTTGAAATCGCCCCAAAAAATATATCATGATAGAAAAGAGACCATCCTAAATCAGACCTATGCATTTATTTCAATTTTTTATGCACATTTTAGCGTAAAAACCGAATGGTTCGTCATTTATCATCGAGAACGAAATCTGTTTCGACACATAGGGACAGCAATACACTAATATCATTCCGATTTGAAACTTTCGTCTCAAAGTTTCTTGATAAGTTTTTGGCACAAAAGGAAATAGAGGAAAAAGTCAGACGAAAGGTGGGAAAGTATAGACGAAAAAGCATTTTCGTAATACTGATTTTGATAATGATTTTCCCGCTTTTAATCATTTTAGTTTCCCAAGAGACCTGTGAACATTCTCTATACATTTGCCAAGGTTATCCATGAAGATATTTGCTAGGGGCATTTCAGATTGAGAGAAAGATTTCGCCTATAGTCTTACCAATATTTATTGGTTATTTTCACTTTTTAGAATAAGCTGAAATCTGATTACATATTTTTGTTCCTTTGACCTCCGAATACTCAATCATAGGCTGGATTTTCATGTGAAAAGAGACCGGATAAGAACAGTCAGATCATCCGGAAAAGCTTGTGCAGAATGAGCACCAAGACAAGAGATCAGATCACAATCAAAAACAATAAATAGATAGGAATGTATCCTACTGTCTTGTGAGAGGTCACTGCAAATATTGAATACATTCGAACTTTTCTCTCCAAGAATTATATACCCTCGTCTGTCCTTCACCCATCAGGTAATTATTGAGGTGTGGGTGCAAGGATGCTGCTCATTGGCACCCATACCACACCTACCCTTTCGCTGTGTATCATTGTTCTATCTTCAGCAATATTCATCACTACCAGAAACCGAAACGAATGAAAAAGTCTTGATTCGATTCGTGTTCAATCTCTTGTGACTATCCATTGAATAATTAGTTCTTCCTAATCTGATTAAGAATTAATAAAGATGAATCAATCAATCATTGAATAAGCATAGTTGTAAATGCTTGATATGTTTTTCATAAGTTGTTGTAATTTCGCATTTAATATTAATCGGATATTCACCAGCTGATTCACCTTGAATATGAAAATAATAAGCAGCTTATAACAAAACAAACAATGGTTCAATTATATCCGTTAAGTTTTCAAATATATTTATTTATTCATATAAATAACGTTTAGGAAATACATTTATGATTGTTTTTCCTGTTTACCTCTTAATACAGGTTGGTTGAAAAGTTTTGAAAGCAAAAATGAAAGAATGTGTATTTTTTAATGAAATCAGTTTTTTTATTCAATATAATCTCCCTCAACTTGAACACACTTATTCCAATGATCCTCCAATAATTTTATACCATCTCTGTAATGATTTTCCGGAAGCTCTGCAAAATACTGTTCCACGGCTGCAATAGCTTCTTCATTCGACGAAAAACGCTTTCCACGAAGGAATTGTTTCAAGTTTCTGAAGAGGTAATAGTCGGAGGGAGCCAAATCTGGTGAATACGGTGGGTGTTCAAGCAATTCGTACTTTAATTCGTTCAATTTAACCATCGTCAAAAAACTTGTGTGAACACGTGCATTGTCTTGATGAAAAATGATTGTTTTCTTCTGTAAACCGGGTCTTTTTTCACCAATTTTTTTATCCAACTGGTCCAAAAGGTTGCAATAATATTCAGAGTTAATTGTTTTACCTTTTTCAAGATAATCAATCAACAAAACCCCTTTTGCATCCCAAAAAACTGATGCCATAACCTTTTTTGCCGATCGTTCTGACTTCACCTGTTTTGGAGCTGAAGAACCAGCTTCAATCCACTGTAAACGTTCTTGTTTCAGTTTAGGATCATGATGGTAGATCCAAGTCTCATCCATAGTTATAAAACGACGCACAAAATCGGTTTTATTCTGCTTAAAACGCTCCAAATTACGGTGAGAAATTTGTTTTCGATTCAGTTTTTGTTGAATTGTTAACGAATGCGGCACTAACTTTCCGAGCAGCTTTTTCATATGTAATTCTTCGTGTAAAATATGGAGTACTCGTTCATCTGAGATGCCTATGGTATCAGCAATTTCACGCTTAGTTAAACTTGGATCTTTACAAACAATATCATAGACTTGCTCAATGATTTCTGGTGTTGTTGCACTTTTTGGACGTCCACTACGTGGTTCATCTTCAACGCTTGTACGACCACGTTTAAAGTCTAAAACCCATCGATGCACAGTTGGAAATGAAGGAGCAGATTCCTTTAACACTTTCACCATTTTTGTATGAATTTCTGTTGCTGATAAACCTTCCAAAACAAAGAATTTTATCACTGCACGATATTCGGTTTTTTCCATTGTAACAAAATACACTGACACGTCAACTTCAAATGGCTTGTAAACACAGAATGAATTGACCAATCAAAATAGAATTTTTTGTGTGTTCCAATGGAAGATGAAATATTAAAATAGCGTATAAATTTTGATTCCTCTACTGGTTAATAGGTGTCGCTTTCAAAACTTTTCAACCAACCTGTAGATTTATTGATCTGTATGTCACGGATAAGTATTTGATAATTTTGAATTTTCATTAAACTTCTGCATAATTGAAGATTAGTCATTGATGATATCGTTATCAAAGAGGATCATCGAATGACTAAAATAGTTCTTTATCTCGTTCAACAAACTTGAATATTTCGTTCGCATTAGCAACACTAACCAGCAGTGTATTTTAAAATTTTCGAATGAAATAATTTTTTTTTAAGAATTATAGCATGTTTTAAACATATTATATTTACTTCATAAATTCAATACAAGCTTTTTTTTTCATCACACTGACTGAATTTTTAATAAGATCAACAAGCGAACGTGATAAAAATAAAAGAAAGTTCGTTTGCCTTCTGATTAGGTAAACTATCAATATAATCATGATAATGATCATTCTTAATATGAACATTTATTTCAGAGACCGAAAATGAACTGAACGGTTCTATTTCGGTTCGATTCGGTGTCTGATTCACTTACAGGTATTGTAATTAAGTTTCGAATTCACTTATATCAGACTTGTGAACAACTAAATGCAATGTACTTGTACTCGTTTTTTTGGCATACTTTCCAATTGTGTACTGAATAAATCTAAGCTTGCCTCCATTTCTAAAACAAATCTAATTTTATGTCTATAAGTATTGATGATTGATGAACGAAGAATAGTATTCCATGATGATTATATTCCAAGAGATTTTCAAAACAAGATCAAGCTTTTCAATGTTTCTATATGTCTTCAAAATGCTGTCAAATGCGACGACAAGTATTGCTGTACACATTATCTATTAAACAGACTACAAACAAAAATATGTATTATTATTAATGAGGATGTGGTTATGGGTAAAAACAATACTAAGACCCATAGCACACCCACACTCCGCTTTAATTTCGTCAATGACCCGCAAATCAACTTTGCTGCTTTACTTTTCTCATCAATAGGTATTGGCCTCGCGCGATGTATTATAGCTCACATACATCTTCATCTTTTGAAACATTTTGTATTGAAAAAATGAGACTATATTATGGTTCGTTTGTCAGCAATTTTCAAAAAAGCACTAAACTATGAATCTCCTGACCCAAAAAAAAACAATTGATCCCTTTATGAACGTAGAGGCAGATGATGTCAAATTTAAGTTTCCACAAAACTTAGATGAAACACACGCGGACCGTAATATTTGCAGGCGACGCGCATCCCATCTCTCAATACGGCTAGTTGGGGTCATAGGACGAACTCTGAGTTTCGCGGAAACTCAAATTTATCATCACCAGACACAGGAATTGTTGACAATCATATCGAAGTTGCCGAGGCACAATATCTTGCTAATGCCATTCATAATAGCACAGTAGCTTTCATTCTCTCTTCGTTTCTCTCATATGCATCGTCTTCACTATACATAGGCTCTCAAGGAATTAAGCACATTCTACCAACGCCAAAGCAATATTTTGTCATGGGATATTGCAAGTTTACAAGAACAAGGCAACCGGTTAAAATATGTATATCGATGGCTTCGACTATAACCGATTAGTGTAAAAACAAGTTCAAATCAGTACTCTCTACTCTTGCTTTTCAAAAATAGACTTCTGTGGACGATAGTATTTAAGAATTATTACTAAACTGAATTTTCTTCATATAACAATGCAGAGTTTTGATTATCAATAGCTCACAAAATGATAGACGTCACTTGTTTAGTTTGATCGATGTGGCTAAATCAACATATTAAGTAGGTTAGGTTTGAATATTTGAAATAAATTCAAATAGCATGATTTTTAGCAAGCTATTTCACCCTGCGACAATGATAATAGTGAATGAAATAGAGAAGCATCACAATATGACTATGAGTCGTTCTTCTTATTATACTTTCGACAATTTTTCTTCATTTTAGAATGAAGAAAACAAATTCCAATATGTAAAAATCTCGACTATGAGTATTTTTAAAGATGTACAAATTTTTTTATCGGTCTCAATTCAATCTTCAAATATTTCGACCCATACTGCAAATAAAACGATCGTGTTCAATCAAATGCGTGATACGCATTGAAAAGCAAAAACGTCAGATCATCGCAGTCAAACAAGTCGTTCTTCCACTTTCGTCTCACTCGAATTTAGAATAATCAATTATGTTCGCATTAAAGAACAAAAAAAATACTCTATTCTAGGTCCATAAATAAATAGATCGATGAAGTAAACAAAAGATGTTTTTTTCTGCTTCTTCATTAAAACTAAAACATTATCTTCTAATTACTTTTATATTAAATAGTATAGTTTATATACTTTTCAATCAACTTGGATAACTGATTTATTTATTATATTATTAAGTTTTTAATGTACAAGATTAAGATGTCTGAATTTGAAAGGTGTCAATAGAACTTTTAAGATTCATCTAAACAATCTTAAGCTTTTTATGAAGGTTGCATCAGCACATAGAATAAGAATATGATGAAGTTATTTAAATATTGTTCTATGCAATGATTTTCTGAAAAATCTATTAAATATGGTCATGAGTGAAATCTTTGAAATACTAATACTAGGGACACCATGGATTCAAATTATGACCTTTACCATAACTCATCATTTTTCTAGTTTAATGACGAATCTATTTCCAAAAAAAGGGAATTTTTTTTACATAATTTGAAACACAAAAAAGATTTTTGAAAACCTCATTACTATGGTATTTGATTCTTCTGTTTCTAAAAATACTGATTTTAATTTGCTAAAGACAATGTCAAACAATGATTTGTTCACTCTTTATCACGATTTAATCTCGTAATTTTGAAAGAACAATCACGAAACAAAAAATATAGAAAAGAGTCAATCTATTCTTATCTCACCCTCAATAATAATCTCAAGTTGATAATTGACAAGACCAAGCTTCTACATTTTTCCTTTCGAAATAATAAGACAATACCTTTTTCACGGCATAAGCAGCGAAAGTTGTTGTTTTTAGGAGAATCTAAAAAAATTAAATTTGAGACTTGTGTTAATGTTGATTCGTAGTTTTCAAACGAACCGTGCAAAATCGAATAGTACGATTGAATAGTGCCAGAAGAAAAAAAATTGATGATGATTTCAAATTTCAATTCATCAATTGTTATCCAAACACGAAATAATTTGCGCATAGATCTTATATTTTCAGTAAAAAAACAAATGATGACTATTTTCCATAGAATGGATTGAAAATCTATGATAACCTTTTCATAAATGAAGGAACAATAAAGAAAAATTCAGCATTGTTTTACTTAAATGGACGAATTTGATAATTTGTATTCTGATCGAGCTTCGTTTTTTTTCGAGAGAAAAATCAATGGCAAAGTTGTGGATCGATTCGATGAAAAACCGATGAAGGAATTTCGAATTTCACGATTGTGTTATCGATTGGATGGTTGACAACAATTGTCTAAACTCATCTAACAACGAACAATGCCGAATTTTAAATGAAAATTAGACAAATATTATTGACTTGAGAATCTGTCGAAGAACATTATTCCTTTCGAAGATGATGGAATTGATCATTTTCAGAGTGAATGGTTTCGGTCTAACTCATAGCATATGACTATTACAGGAACTGAATAGAAGCAAAAGAATTGTTTTTTTCTAATAGAACTATTAATAAGAATCGAAAATCCAGCTAAATTATCGTCTTTCTGTTGTATAGAACTGTCATCTTTCAAACATGGGCAGATTCAAACTATCACTCGAGTATATCGATCGATTAGATTACGATCTTTGATTTCGCTGATGCTTAATGACGTATGTCTCAGTATTATTTGCAAAGTAATTGAATTTGAGAAGCTACAGAAATACATATTCTAAGATAATAAATCCATAATTCATCAAATGCACTGAAGTTTGATAATGGATTCATGATTTGACCGAATCAAATCAATCCAATATGATCGCTTATCAGATGCTCTTGGATTTCTTTTTCGGACGATGAAAGCCTCTGCTTAGAAAGTCAAACCTCTTTTTTGAACAATGCAGAATATAATCGTTTTTCACAATCTTTGACGTGATAATAGATCATGAAAATTATATCTTAGTTGTTGTTCCAAAAGAAAACTTTTATTTAACAATGATGAACCAGTTATATTGTAGCTATGAAGAAAACTTTGTATCAATTGATGCTAATGATCTTTGGGTGGAACAAAATGAGCGATAGATCCCCATAATTCATTTCTCCACAATGAAAAATGTTGACATTTGCCATAATAGATTTCAATGATTTCGATTCGTTCATCATTCTGATTTTGTAACGGTAGATAACTGACAAACTAGTTGTATGGATGTGGTTGCGTACATGAACGAGGTGGATAATAACATTTTGATTGACATTTCAAACATTTGATTTGAATTTCTTTTATATAATGTGTTGATGTATTTGCTTCATTAATATTTTCAGGTTCTTTTAGTGAGCTTCGACTGTAATCATCCATCATATCCATGGTGATATTGTTCGCTAGTTTGCCATGAATAAAATAGATATCTAAAGCATATGGAATCAAAAAAGTTATATCACGTTACACTGTTCAGCATCAAAGATTCTTACATAATTCATGATTCGGCTGTGCTTTGTGAATAGTATTTATTGTTGGGGTGTGGGTTCATTTAAGAGATCAATCATACCAACATCCACACCCACACCCTTAACGAAATAGAATTCCTTTGGAAGTCGAGTCTTCCATTGGATGGCATGAAAATCGAGCAAATCTTGATTTTTCTTCTCGACAAATAAAAATCAATCATAAAAAAAAAGAAAAATTTCAAACTTTTTCTGCTATCGACATTAAAATAATATGAGTAACAACCACAAATATTA